GGGGCAGGGGCAGCAAGGACTGTGACACCACCGGGGTCGAATTCTGATTCCACAGTGTAGACCACAGGACTGCGGGTGTATGACCTGACTTTATCTTTCACGCTTTGGTTTTTTCATCTGGAAAACAAGAGCATCCACTTTGGAGAACCAAGTGAGACACACTTGTGATGTACCTAGCACAGCGCTGGAGACGCTGTAAATGCTCAATAAACACCCCTGTCACGGTCACGGACGCGCTTTCCTTACAGTTTACTCATTTATTTACTCAAGGGGCAGGGGCTGGCAACTCCGACAGTCTTCCTGCCACACCCCACCCCAGCCTCGGCCAGCACAAGGACGCCCGCGCAGATGTGTCCCTCAGGGAGGCCCTGGCACGCAAGCCCAGGACCCGCCCATGGGGCTCGGGCATCGCAGAGCACCCCACGGCCGCCACTGACCGGGTCATGCAGCCCAGCACTATCTAAGCAGAGCTGGGCTCCCTCTGGGCTAGGGCTGGAACAGGAGCGGTCTGCTCCCGCACCCCGGGTTCCCACCTGGGCGTCCAGCCCGCCACGGCGTGTCGTTAATTCTTTTTAAGACCTCGGCATACAAAGATCAGGGTGAGTATGAGATAATTAATCAAAACCCAACAGAAATGGGGTACTAAAAATAGAGTCTAATGACTAAGATGAACCGAGTAAACTCCCTCTAATAACCTTCAACAATTCAGGGAGAGTTATTTCTCCAGGCAGCTCATTTATTCAAAAAGTTCAAGGGATTAAAATGTTTTAAGTGGCTGAGATAATTTCCAAATATTCGGAAAATGTGTCACGTCTTACTACGGCGTTTCGTGTAACGGCACTCCTGAAAACCAGACTCTCCAAATAAGCAGAACCCTGCAGAGGGCTACGGCTGGCTAACTGCTGGACCGGGAGGCACGTCCTTAAGCTCTGCCTTTCAGAGTCTGCTCTACACGTTCACCTTGACCCTCTGTCCCTGCTGCTGGCACTGAGGCCCAGGGCAGGCCTCGTACCTTGGTCCAATGTGGTGGGGGTCCTGCTCTCTGCGACAGCTTGGCTGGGTCACTCTGAAGTCAGGAGCCTGCCCTCGCAGTGCCCCTGGATGCGCCTGTCACACCGTGCGTGAAGACAGGCTGGGGTTCGTCTCTGGTGTGAAAGAGACGCCCGGGCCTTGGACTTCCGCAGACGTAGGCTGCGTGCCGGGTGCTCCCCACTTCTCTGCATCTGTCCCACCTCCCAGCAGGAAACACAGGCACCCGCCCTCTCAACACCAGAGCTGCCCAGTGCCTAGGGCTCCCCCACTCGGGCTAAGCAGTAACCGTAATTCTGACAATCCACTCGCCACGAGTCCGCCTCTGGGATCTTGGCCAAGCTCGTGACAGCAAAGTGGAGGTGTCCCTCTCCCTCGCCACACTCCTCGGATCACACAGCAATTCCCAGGGACTCCTTCCCCCTGACCAGGGCCTTCCTTACCCAGGCCAAAACGGTAGCCGTCAGAGAAGCGACTGCTGGCGTTCCAGAACACGCAGGCACTGTCCACGTGCTGGAGGAAGAACTCCGCTGTCTTCTCTGCAGACCAAGAAAGGACCCGAGTTAGGGTGCCCCACAGAGAGCATCCCTGATTCTAGCCACTGGCAAGAGACAGATCTGGGAAGTGCCCCCTTCACACATTAAACATGTAGGCTGTGGCCAGTGGGTGGTGTGGTGGTTAAGGCACTGGACTCCCACATAGCCAACTGTGGTTTGAATCCCAGACCCAGTGGTTTGAAATTCACACTGGGAACATGTGCATGTGTGCTTAAGGTCCTGAGAGGAGAATGGAGAAGGCATTGTGGTGTGGCCATCCCCCCTGCCTGGGGGTGAGTTCTTTCTTTCCCTCTCTGTCTGTCTGTCTCTCTGCCAAGTGCATGTGCCCTACAGAAAAAAAATCTAAAAAAAAAAAAAAAAAAAAAAACTCATGAAGGCCAACGAAATATCTGAACAGACAAGGCAGGCCGGCTTCAGCGGGTACACGCTGTGGAAAGACTGGGCGAGGTCCAGATCCCTGTGCGGGTGTGCTCAGAGCTGTGAGGACTGGTCAACATCCCGTGTACAGGCTCCAGGGCCCGACTGCCGAGGTCGCACTCCAACTCCACACTGACAGGCCGTGTGACCTTGACAGGTGTCTGAGTGAAAAGATGCCGTCGGCAGGACGTAGCTCACGGGTGTGTGTGTGTGTATGGAAAAGATGAAGTGAGCTGATATCCGTCATCGGTGAGTGTCAGCTGTCATCGCTGGTGGGACTACGGCTCCTCCATAAACTGTAAGTTGCTCAAGAGTGTCCTCTTAGCTTCCTTCACGACCGGGCCCAGGTCCTGCCCCCGAGGAGTGCTCGCAGCAGCTTGGCGTGACTGCGTACATGTGCAGCGCTGCTTCTCTGAGCCGGGTCTTGGTTTCCTCAGCTGAAACTGGCTTTATTTTAAATGCCTGGTAAATCATCGCATGGATTAAATAATGCCCCTGATGTTATTTAAGGTGTTATTTTTTTCCCTAGACTATTAAAGTTAGAGGGCATATGCACCTGCCAGATAGCGAGCGAGCACACAGCCACGGGGTGTGGGGAGGCTGCAATCCTCTTTCCTCCATCTCACCATGCCGCCGGGATTGTGGGCACGCACACACAGATGCCTGCCATGATTTTTAAGCCATCAGGGCTGGGATTCAAACCATGGTCAGCCATGTGGAACCCTGCTCCCCCTGCACGGCGCTTAACCATGTGGCTGTGGGGCCAGCTCTGTCGGAAGTGGAGAGAATATTCCCGTCCTGTCCCACCCCTGCCCAGGGCTGCAGTGACCATATAAGGAGGTACCGTCTATGAGAGCACTCGGCAAACCATCACAGCCAGCCAGCAGGGGGCGCTGCCGTCAGCCCATGGACTGTTTCCTGCAGGCCAAGAGCGCAGAGAGAAGGCCTGCCCTGCAGACGGAGCCCAGCAGCCGGCCCAGGCACTCGGGCACACTGACCGTTCTCGGTGACAATGACGTCCGTGTGGGAGCTGCCGTACTTGTGGATGTGGTCGATGGCCTCCTGGACGCTGTCCACCACCTCAATGCACAGCTCCAGGTCGCCGTACTCGGTTCGGAGCGACTTCACTTCAGAGGGGCTGAAGGTCAGATAGGAGGCAAACTTGGGGCCCGCGTGAATTTTCACCTGGAACAGGGCAGCAGGGCGGGAGGAGGACATCATGAAACCACAGAGCCGGCCGGTGACAGGGAGCTCATCGAGCCACGACCCGCGGCCTGTGCCCCACAGCTGGGCCAGCCCTGCCTCCCTGCCCTCCAGGATGCAGCCTGGGGACCTGCCGCCTGGCCACCGGCCAGCAACGGGTCCTCGAAGACGCCGCTGCACTTCACCGGCCAACTTCTGACTACAACGACACCCGATTATCGGGTCCCAGGCACTGGTCCCGCGCATATTTTACCCCCGCATCTGGGAGGGGAGAAGGCCTGGTCGCGCTGCAGGGACCGGCAGTCAGTTCTCTCGGAGAGCGCGGAGGTTCCTTGCCGGATTCCGACTGCGGGTCGGCCCGGCCCCCAGGGTCCAGCTCAGTCCAGGCTTGTTCCATCCGCCCAGCTCCGATGGGGAAGTGAGGCTCCTCGGGCTGACACCCAGGTCCCCACCTCGCTTCTTTAGGACCAGCTCTGACCCGGCTCAAGTCAGAACAAGCCGTGTGTCCTCCCTCTTGCTCCTGAGCCTCCCGTGGTTTCCCATCTGGACCCATTTCCTCCAGGACCCGAACCTGCCCTGTGCTACTGCCTTGCTGGCTTTACTTTTCACACAGAGGCCTGCCGGAGGGCACACTCCAGGGCCTGGGGAGTTTCAGACATCCTTGCTGTGACCACTGAGGGCATCACAGGTTGGAGTCAGGACTGAGGGGTCCCTCCCGGCCCAAGGAGAGCTTCCCTCCTGTCCAGTCCAGGTCAGCGAGGTGTCTGGTACACACAGGTGCCAGTCGAGTAGGCCAGCTGGTGTCAAGGCGGGCCCAGACACGAACGACCGTATGAATCTGTGGGGCACATTTTCACTTTCAGAATTCCTGCAGGTTCTCGCTGGGGCCATTCCACTAAAAGCTGACTGGAACCTTCCTTTTCATCAAATGGGTAGAAGGGAAGAGACGCAGCTCAGGGTCACAGTAACCAAGGCAGAAAGCACCTTCTCTACTGCCACGCGAGCTCAGGGCATTCTGAAAAGAGTGCCGTTACATAGACATTAAAGCATAAAACGCATCCATGCCAAAAAGTGCAACAGACTGCCCACTTTTGCATTGAGAGTACCTCTTCTTGCAGTTAGGAGTTTGGGATGGAGCGAAACTTCAGAGCTCAAACGTGCTGGCCTTGCTTTGCTCACAACTTTAATGACGTGGTAAGAACTCGGTCCAGACGGAACCCTGTGCCCCCGAATACCACTGTTGTTAAGTGCGTTAACGTTGGTAACTGAAGACGTGTTTTGGGGTGGAGTGAATACGCACACAGTTTTGGTCTGAAAACATTTCTGCACAGTCTTTTCAAATCAAATCCCAAAAGGAGTATGTGTTGAAACTTTGCCACCTGAATAATTTTTGCCAGAAATAATCTATTCAGCACGCTGCCATGTGGCCTGTCTTACCTCTGAACCCTCTTGGCACATTACGCAGTCCACTCTGTAACAAATTTGTGGATCAGTTTGGTCAACCTACAGACTGTCAGAGGCCGGGGCTGCATCTTACTCGCCTATTTACTTAGCACAGAACTCTATAGCAGATGCACAAAAATATTCTTTTCCACGTGGCCTTACGTGGTATGGCAGCCGCTCCAGAGCTAACCCTGCAGGCGTCTACTCCTGGAAGCCACAGGGGACGTGGCGCACTGGTCCTCCGGTCTTACCTGTTCCACTCTCAGCATATCAATGATCTGGTCAAACAACGGCGTCCTCAGCAGATCTCGGTGGATTAACAAAGTCTCCAAAGCATTACAGGCCGCAGGATATTCACATTTGGAGTCTCTGACTGAAAGACGAGGAGCAAAGAAGCGTCTCTACCAACGAGCTCCCGAGCCGCAGAGGCCCTGACAGATGTCCGCCTCCGTGACACGGGACGCCCGTCCAGCTTACCTAGCCTGGTGACCTTATCAACACTGGCCTCCGAGTCCACGTACATGTGGCAGATGCCTTCACTGTGCCCCATCACTGGGATGCCCTTAGCCGCTTTCTGGATGTCTCTGACCAGCTGGGAAGAGCCGCGTGGGATGATCAGATCTATCATTCTGTCTAGGCGGCAGAGATCTTCAACTTCTTCTCTGGTGTTCACCTGGAGAGGAAAAACACAGAGAAGACTCCTCGTGTGGCGCAGTCCAGCTACCAAGGCAGGAGGATCACAACATAGTGAGAGCCGGCCTTCAAGAGGAAAAAGAAAAGGTTTTTAGGTTTTTGCCATAAGGAGTGTGTGCTCACCAGAGAGAGACAGAGAGACAGGGCAAGTAAGAAATCACCCCCAGGGGGGGATGGCCACACCACAATCCTTACTTCTCTATTCTCCTCCTGGGATTTTGGGAACACACACATGCACTCCTGGCATGATTTTCAAGCCACCATGTCTGGGACTTGAACCTCAGTCACTTGTGTGGAAGTCCAGAGCCTTAACCACATTGCCACCTGCTGGTCCCAAAAGATGACTTTATGTGTGTGTGTGTGAGAAAGATTTTTGCTATAGGGTGTGTATGTTTGTCAGAGAGACAGAGAGAGACAGACAGATAGCGAGAAACCACCCCCCAGGGGGAATGGCCACGCTGCACTCCCTTCTCCTCCATTCTCCTCTCAGGATCTCGGGCACACAGGCACATGCACCCAGCATGAGTTTTAAGTCGCCCGGTCTGGGACTCAAACCGCAGTCAACTAAGTAGGAGTCCAGTGAGGTAACCAAGTCGCCATCTGTGGTCTCAAGATGACATCTTCTAACCAAAATAATACAGAAACAGAAATAGTGGTTTCCTTTTTATAGATAAAAGCCTGCATGCACTGAGAACTAAATTACGTACAGTGAAAACTTAAAAAAATAAGAAAAAATTTGGGGGTAGGAGGGAGGAATCAGGAAAAAAAAAACAGATTTAAGAGACAAAAATAAATTTGCTAATGATAATATATATGGAAATGTCTTTGACTTGACTAATACGCATTGCATTCATGGTGGGAAAAACCATGTTGTATACCATAAAGATGTGCAGTGATTAAATGTAAACTTAAAAAAAATTAAATATAAATAGATCATTTAAAAAAAAGAAAAATTCAAAAAATAAGATTAAGTTCCTGATCATGGGAATTAAAAGTCATCTCGCAGGCCAGCACATGGCGTGGCGGTTAAGGTGCTGGACTTCCACATGGCTGACCGTGGTTTGAGTCCTGGACCTGCTGGCTTGCTTTTTCACTTTCCCTTTCTCTGTCTCTCTGTCTTTCACTAGTCAAAATAAAATAATAATAAGAAATAAAATTAAATAAATAATTTTTTTGGAGAGAGATATTTGCTATAGGGTGCACGCGCTTGCTAGAGAGACAGAGAGACATAAAGTGAGAAATCAATCCGCACAGGGATGGCTACTCCGCAATCCTTTCTCCTCTATTCTCCTCTCAGGATTTGGGGCATACACGTATACACACTTGGTGAGTTTTGAGCTACTGGGTTCAGGACTCAAACCATAGTTGACTATGTGGGAGTCCAGCAACATAACCATTACGCCATCTGCTGGGCCCAATAAATTTTTTAAAAAAATAATTATTTTTTTTTAAAAGAATTATTTATTTATTCATTTATTTATTTTCATTTGACCAGAGAGAGACACAGAGAGAGAGAGAGAGGGAAAGTGAGAAAGCTATCCACCAGGTCTGAGACTCAAACCGTGGTTGGCCATGTGGGAGTGTCCAGCACCTTAACCACAATGTCACCTGCTGGTCCCCCCAATAAATAATTCTCAAAAAAAGAAAGTCATTCCCCAAGTGCTATCACAGACTACACATCTGGTGTTGTGTTCTACATTACAAAACATGCAAGCCCTGGTCCCTGTCCTCAAAGAGCTCAGAATCTATTAGGGAAGGCAGGACGAGGACACAACTATCCATGACGTAGGGCAGACAGTTCTAAAATGCAAGAGGAGGGGGGCCGGCAGATGGCATAATGGTTATGTCACTGGACTCCCATGTAGTCAACCATAGTTCAAGTACCAGACCGAGCCGCTTAAAACTCACACTGGGTGCATGTGCGTGCATGCCCAAAATCCCAAGGGGAGAACAGAGGTTAAGGAACTGTGATGCGGCTATTGTCCCCAGGGGGTGATTTCTTGCTTTCTGTTGTCTCTGGCAAGCGCATGCACACTACAGAAAAAAAAACAAAAAACAAAAAACAAACCCAAACCCCACCCCACCCCCCCCAAAAAATGCAAGAGGTACACAGCAGTACCTACGGCAGCTGAAGGCTTCAGAGCATGCCGGACTGTGAGGCCTGTGACAGGAAGCAGCTGCCCTGCTGGCTCCCCAGTCACTGCCTTAGTGGGGTCTTGCCAGGCAGTCCTGGTCTCGGTCATTCTGCTGGCGACCTCTACCCTGGGATGCTGACTGCACTGACTCAAGTGCTGCTGTAGGGGCTGGGACCACAGGCCTTTAGTTTCCTTCATGTTTCGTTTCCTTCCATCTGACCATATTACTTAAGACAGAAATCTAAACACACACCTACCAGTATGCTCACAGCAATGTTATTCCACAAAGCCAAAAACCGGAAACGACGTTATTCATCAAGGAAAAAAGAGTAAACTCTGTGCATGGAAAATGGGGCATCACGTGGCAATAAAGGGGAGTCCTGCCCGATGCAGCGCAGATGGGTGTCAGACACGGTGAACACAAGTGCGTGCTGTGCGACTCCACTTACGGGAAGTTCAAGAACAGGCCGAAGTAGCGCATGGACAGCAGGGAAAGGGGCCGACCTGGGCACGGCTGGCACACTGACTGCAGGGGCACAGGGAGACTTCCGGGATGCCGCGAAGGACACTTAGCACGCTTAGCTTGACATGGCTGATGGCTGTGCGTGTGAGCACGTGTGCTTGTGTGTATGAACAAGCCCTGGAGTAGCCACACGGGATCTGTGCACTTCAGTGATGCATGTTATTCTGTCATGTGCACAGAACACGTTTTGGTCCACAGCAGAACACATGTCCGAACATCGTGAGGAATGTACAGGCTACACCATGGCCGAGGTGTGTGGTGGGCCGTGCCAGGTAGGTTGTTAAATGCACGTCTGCACAGTGACTAAACCGTCTACCGACCCAGTTCTCAAAATGTATCCTGGTCCTTAAACCATCCTGCCCACAGAAGTTCTCGGCCCTCTGTAACCTAGGCTTTGTCTCAAACTCCCAGAGACCGGACCTGACCCCACCAGGCCTGACGTGGCTCTTCCCCAGGGACCTACGAGCTGCATGGCTTCCCTGACTGTATGCAAGGTATGCTGACCCATGACTGTCTAGGCCAGGATATGGCAGAGCTGGGCTTTAAATCTAAGATCAGTGTGTGTTCTACCGTGACGTCGCCGTAGGAAAACACCAGGATCCCTATTACTGAGCACATGATGAACACGGCAGTTCACCATGTTCTCCCAGCCGCTGACAGAGTCCTGGCGTGCTGGATGGAACAAGTGGGCCTCAGCGGGAACAGACAAGATCTGCAGTCACCAAGTCTACAAGTCTACAGTCTACCACCGGCTGTGTGGCTTTGCATGCATTACTTTACCTCTGAGTTTTTTTTTTTTTTTTTTTAACCTAAAAAAATAGGCCTAATGATAACACTTTCCTCATGTTGTAGTGAGGATTAAATGAGATAAAGGATGAAAGCGCCTTGCACATAGTTGAGTGTTCGATAAACTGTAGCTGCTGCTATCAAATGTCACTGGAGAGCTGAGGGGAGTGGGTCGACAGTCAGTTAAACAACGACCATTTTGGGGCAGCCAATGGATTAGAGGTTGAGGCACGGGTCCCACATGGCTGACTGTGGTTGGAGTCCTGGATCCAGCAGCTTGAAAACCACGCTGAGTACACCTGTGTGCATGCCCCAAATCCCGAGAGAATGGAGAAGAAGGGACTGTGGTTGTGGCCAGCCCTCCTGAGGGGTGATTTCTCACCTTCTCTCTGTCTCTGCCTCTCTTCAGCGAGTGTATGTACCCTAGAGAGAATTTTAAAGAATGAAAATGACCATTTTAATAACAGTGATAACAGTGTGATCTCACACCTACACAGAGCTCAGTGGTTTCTGACAAATCTGGTAACATTTACCCCATCAGCATATCCCGAGTCGCTCTGCCGAAGAGAAGGAGCCAGGCCTCACTCTAGGTCTGGTACTCTGGCTCTGTGACCCAAAGAATGAAGGTCTCCTGATGCCCTTAAATGAGCACTGCAAGGACTCGGCAGCATGAGGCCTCAAGCTGCTGCAGACCTAGCCAGCCCTGCAGGGTGGTCTGTCAGCCGGTTCACAGAGCTGCCACCACTCCAGTCAGGCCTGCCATGGACACGTCTTGGCCCTACTGAACCTACACCTTGCTTCAAACTCCCAAAGACCAGACTTGACCCGCCAGGCCTGATGTGGCTTGTTCCCAGGGACCTACCAGTTGCACGGCCTCCTTGACTCCATGGATCGAGAGGGCCTCCTGGGTCAGGAGGTGAAGAATCCGGTTGCTGTGTGCAGCCTCCTTGCCTCCTTTGAGTAACAAGCCATTACCACTCGCGATAGCCAAGGCCGCCACCTGCAGATCAGGGGGCAGTAGTAAATCACAGGGAGGAGACTCGGACAGTAGCAGTGGAGGCATCCCCTGCACATCCATTCAGTGCTAGAGGGCACAGGCACTTTCCAGGAAGAGATAAGAGACAGCAGGAGGGGAAAGGCCCCACGGAGGTGAGACCTAGAGAGGGAGGGGAAAGGCCCCACGGAGGTGAGACAGAGCAGGAGGGGAAAGGCGAGGGTGAGACAGAGAGGGAGGGGAAAGGCGGAGGTGAGACAGAGCAGGAGGGGACAGCGGAGGTGAGGCGGGGGAAGGCACCAAGGAGGTGAGACAGAGAGGGAGGGGAAAGGCGCCGTGGAGGTGAGACAGAGGGAGGGGAAATCATCACGGAGGTGAGAGAGAGGAGGGGGGAAGGTGCCATGGAGGTGAGACAGAGAGGGAGGGGAAAGGTGCCATGGAGGTGAGGGGGGGAAGCATCGCGGAGGTGAGACAGAGGAGGGGGGAAAGGCGCCATGGAGGTGAATGGTCATGCCACCATCCTGTCTCATCTCTCGCCCTCCTGGGAGTTTGGGCATGTATGCACACATGCCTGGCATGGTTTTCATGCCACTGAGTCTGGGACTAAATGGCGTAGTGGACCACTGGGCCACAGGTCAGCCCTGCAGTCTTTTTGGTGCTAAGCACTAAGTTCTATGTTCATCGCTCTGTAAGGCCTACGCCATCCCACCTTCGCAACATCCCAGTGACCTAGTACCTGTTCTATCGCCCACTTTACAGTAGGACACTTAAGTGCAGAGCGGTCACGCAAGTTACACGTGGCAGGACTGGGAGCCACGCTGAGGGGCCCCAGAGCTGAGCCACCTGGATCTCAGGAATTCAGCTATGTGGCTTCTTCCATTGGCAAAGCAACCTGAGTGAAGTGGCCGGGGACGCACTGCCCCCTCCCCGCCTGGGCCACTGTGGGAAAGGGGTCCTCAGCTCCTTCCACAGGAAGCACGTAGCTCAGGCTGGGCCTGGGCAACACCTCTGGCCACACCCTCTTCTGGCCCTGGAATCGTGAACCTGGAGACTAGGGCTCCGGCCAGCGCAGCAGGGACTGCCGGGAAAGGAGTACGGCCTGTTTAGGGAGGAAAGGCAGGCGATCCAGGAGGAGGGCGAGACCCTGTCAGAGCAGAGTGAGCGTCACTGCCCTGATCACCCTAAGCCTGGCTTTCTGAATGCTCTTGGGATGGAGGAAAATCCTCCAGTGTTTGTAACATGGGGGGAGGGGAGGGAAGGACCAAAACCCTTGTGTTCTTTTTTTTTCAGTTTTGCTATAGGGCGTGTGCATTTGTGGGAAAGAGATAGCGAGAGACAGAGAAAGTGAGAAAGCACCCCTCTGCCCTCCCCAGGGCAGAATGGCCATGCTGCAATCCTTTCTCCTTTCTCCTCTCGGGATTCGGCATGCACACGTGCGCCTGGTGTGATTTCCCAGCCGTAGGGTTAGGACTTGACAGCACAGCCGGCCATGTGGGACCCAGTCAGCCTAACCTCCACACCGCCTGCTGGCCCCCAGGTGAAGAGCTCTTACTCCTTTCTGCTTGTGGCTGATGGACCCTTATGAAAGTTATGAAAATCTTCTCCAGGTAAGTGCATACACATATAATTCTGCATAGAGCTTTTAGGGTTCGTGGCTTCTGCGACGCCATCAGGCGAGGAGCCTCAGCTACGGCTCGCTAGAGGAAGCCTGACTCCCTGCGAGGTGTCGGCTGGAGAGAATGAGAGGTAGCAGAAACCTCGTGGGCAGCCCAGAGACTAAGGACACATGTCCGCCTGCAGAAGCGGGGCTTGCAGGAAA